TTTTTTTATTTTATTCATCCAGTATAGCAATTTCCGTTTTTTTCACAATAACATGTATTTTTGAAAATATCGGAAGAGAACGATCAATGAAAAATTTGCTATCATAACGTGATTTTCAAGTGTTCTCATGAGAGTGGTCTACAGGCGGACCGACTCGAGGCGTTGAGCGAGGCAAGAGAGATGTTCTACTTCGGCTATGAGAATTACATGGAGCACGCCTTCCCCGCTGATGAATTGGATCCAATACACTGCACTGGGAGAGGACATGATCATAGCAACCCGTAAGTTCCAAAACTATATGGATTACGTTTTCACTGACTCACATTTCAGGTCCAACATAAACATCAATGATGTTTTGGGTGATTACTCCTTGACTCTGATCGATTCGCTGGATACTTTGGTAGTGCTAGGTATGTCTTTAATTTATTAATCAGGCTTCTCTGTCCATTTATCCTTAAAGATTTTTTGGGTTTATCTCTTGTCGCTCTTTGTCTCTAAAACCTGGCCACTGTAGGCTAGTCTTACCTTGACGGGTGCTGTGTATCGTTTTCTATATTTTGAAAAGCATTTGATGTTGATATGATTGGACTACTCTCATAATATCCTTTTTGTTCATGGGCATACTTTGACTGGTTTATCCAAGCTATTAAAAGTTTTTTGTTCCATTTCTAACATGACCTTGGTCTAGGAGATCACGAAGAATTTAAGCGAGCAGTATCTCTTGTCATCAATACTGTGACATTTGAAAAGAACACTACTGTGCAGGTGTTCGAGGCAACAATCAGGTGATCATTTCACTCTTTTTTGAATAAGATTTAACAAAATTTTGTTAGGGTCATCGGGTCTTTGCTATCTGCTCACTTGATCGCATCAGATGAGTCTCGTATGTTAGGAGACTTTTACATGCCCGAGTATGATGGTGAACTGCTAACCCTAGCTCATGATCTAGCTGCACGTCTCCTTCCCGCATTTGAGGGTACTAGAACGGGTCAGTTGCTCATTTAGTTATTTTTAGTTACTTTATAACTTGTTCTCAGTCTTCACCTATGCTATTTTATAGGTATACCATATCCTCGGGTAAATTTGATGCGTGGTGTACTTCCTGATACTATAGAAGAGACCTGTACAGCTGGAGCTGGTTCTCTTTTGGTAGAATTCGGAATTTTATCACGTTTATTAGGAGATCAGGTAGCGTTTTTTGTGAGGACCGTCCTGGTTCCACATACATATTTTGAATCTACCTTTTTATCTTTAGACGTTCGAACGTACTGCTAGACGAATTAATGAAAGATTATGGCAACATCGCGACGAAAATACAGGCCTGCCAGGTACTCAATGCTATATAATACTTCGTTTTGTGTTTGAGCGTAAAAGTATACATCAAACCAAACGCGCATTCTTAGTTTCAATGGTTTTTTCATACTTTTTCAAAATCCGCTGCTACTTTGCTCATTTTTTCGATATTATCAAATTTTTCTGATTGTTCGAATTGAGATGAAACCAGCATTTCCTACCGTTCTTCTACTCTCTACGATTTGATTCTGTCCTGCATATACTTAGGTAATGTCATAAATATACAAACTGGAGAGTGGGTTGGACACCTGAGCGGCGTTGGCGCTGGTTTGGACTCATTCTATGAATATTTCTTGAAAGGTCAATCTTCCTGTTGCTGTTCTGGGTTCTCCACATAATCTCGATTGTTTTAGCATACATCTTATTTGGGGAACCACGGGATCTGCAGCTATTTAATGAAGCTTATGATGCTATATTGGCTAATATGCGACGCGGAAGGTTGGTTTCCTTTGATCTCTCTTTCTTTCAGATACTTTATTTTTTCAGCAGAAAGGTTGTTTTAGGATTTATTGTAATTCCCAGGATGGTGAACCACCACTGTTTGTGAATGTCGATTCACGGGATGGTAGTACGGCCAATACATGGATTGATGCATTGCAGGTTATCTTCACAGTCCTGTCTTATTTAATAATCTATCAAAACATTCAGGCTAGTTTTGCTGGACTTCTTGTTTTGGCAGGT